GGGGATGAGCCTCGCCCTGGGAAAACCACCTGCCTGATCATGGTGTCTCCCCTGCCAGGTAAGTATGCTTTCCTCCCCTCCCGCCCCGCTCCCCACGCCCCGCCCCCGGCCCGCACCGCACGGCGACCGCCGTTCCCAACCCCTCTTCCCTCCCCGCGTCCCGCCCGACTCCGCGCCCCTCTCCTCGCCCCGCGCCGCGTCCCACGCAACTTCCACGGGGCTGCAGGCGCGTTCCGTTTCTGGCATAATGTGGTCCCGGCTTGCCGTGCGCGGAGCGATCTGCATACCGATCTGCATATTGATCTGCACGGCCCCGCCCCCTCCCGCAGCAGCCCCGCTCTGAACAGCGCCTCAGCTCGCGCTGTTTTGCCGCCGTAGCGCACTTAGCATTGAAGCCTCTTCAGCAAAGCAAAACCTCCGGGTCGTTGTCATTGGTGACTCCCTGCTGCAGGGAGCAGGAGGGGAGGTGTAGGTTAGATCTTAGGAGGAAGTTTTTCGGCCAGAGGGTGGTGAGGCACTGGAACAGGTTGCCCAAGGAGGCTGTGGATGCCCCATCCCTGCAGGCATTCAAGGCCAGGCTGGATGTGGCTCTGGGCAGCCTGGTCTGCTGGTTGGTGACCTGCACTTAGCAGGGGGTTGGAACCAGATGGTCACTGTGGTCCTTTTCAACCCGGGCCATTCTATGATTTCAGGAAATAAACAGTAATAGGTTCTCCCACCAGCAGAAGTGGTCTTACAATGGGAGTCGAGAAGGTTCATTGATAGAGCTTTAAACTAGGCACAAAGGGGGTGTAACTGGGGTCACTAAAACGGAGCCTGTATGTAAAGTCCCAGTGCTTGTAGCAGAGGGATGTGCTAGTAAGATCCCACAGTCTGGTGTCTTGGTGGAGGAGGAGGACATCTCACCCTTTTGTAGGAAGAACACGAGGGTTGGTGTGAGGTTGGTGGCTACGGAAACACCTGAGTATGGCCACGAGGGCATTAGGACTACTGCCACTCCAAAGGAGGCCCAGCTCAGGTGCTTTTACAGCAATGCACACAGCATGGTAATAAACAGGAGGAGCTGGAGGCCGTCGTGTGGTCAGAAAGCTATGATATAATCGCCATCACAGAAACATGGTGGAATGACTCGCACAGCTGGAGTGCTGTGATGGATGGCTACTGACTTTTCAAAAGAGATGGGCAAGGCAGGAAAGGTGGTGGTGTAGCCCACCATGTTAAGAAAGAACGTGATTGTATGGAAATGTATGATGGTGATGATTGGGTTGAGAGCTTATGGGTCAGAATAAAAGCGAAGGCCAGTAAGGCTGATATTATCATGGGAGTCTGCTACAGGCCACCCAACCCGGATGAAAAGGTGGACAAGACACTTCATAGACAGTTGGGTGAGGTCTCAAGGTCACTACCCCTTGTTCTCGTGGGGGACTTCAACTTCCCAGACATCTGCTGGATTTATAATCCAGCAGATAGGGAACAGTTCCAGAGGTTCCTAGAGTGTGTGGGAGATAACTTCCTGACACAGTTGGTGAAGGAACTGGGGAGAACAAGAAGGAACAAGGGGAAGCAAAATCCTGGGCCTGCTGTTTGTTGACAGAGAATGTCTTGTGGGGGATGTAAAGATTGGAGGCCATCTGGGGCAAAGTGATCATGAGATGCTAGATTGCTCGATCCTTGCTGAAGCACGGAGGTGAGTCAGCAGAACTGCCACCTTGGACTTTTGGAGGACAGACTTTAACCTCTTTAGGACCATGGGTGAGAGTGTCTCTTGGGAGGTAGTTTTGGAGAGTGTGGGAGCCCAGGAAGGCTGGGAATACTTTAAGGAAGTAATTTTAAGCCGGCCATCCCCAAGTCATGGAAGATGAGCCGATGGGCAAGGAGGCTGGACTGGCTGAACAGAGACCTTTGGCTGAAACTCAAGAACAAAAGGAAAGTTTATGGTCTCTAGAAGAGTGGGCAAGCTTCTAATGACGATTGCAGCTACGTAGTGAGGCTGTGCAGGGAGAAAATTAGAAAAGTCAAAGCCCGGCTAGAACTGAACTTGGCCACTAAGATAAAGGACAACAATAAATATTTCTATAAATACATCAACGGCAAGAGGAGGGATAGGGAGAATCTCCATCCTTTGTTGGACATCGAGGGCAACTTGGTGACCAAGGATCAGGATAAGGCTGAGGTACTTAATGCCTTCTTTGCCTCAGTCTTTAATAGTAAGACTTGTTACTCCCTGGGCACACAGCCCCCTGTGCTGGTAGATAGGGATGGGGAACAGAATAGGCCCTGCGTAACCCATGATGAGATGTTTTGGGACCTGCTCTGAAAGCTGGGTGCTCACAAGTCCGTGGGGCCGGATGGATTGCACCCCAGGGTGCTGAGGGAGTTGGAGGATGTGGTTGCCGAGCCACTCTCCATCATCCTTCAGCAGTCCTGGCTAACTGGGGATGTCCTGGCAGACTGGAGACTGGCAAATGTGATGCCCATCTTCAAAAAGGGCCGGAAAGATGATCCTGGTAGCTACAGACCTATCAGTCTCACCTCGGTGCTGGGGAAGGTTATGGAACGGATAATCTCGGGAGCCATCGTGGACCAGTTAAAGGTCAACCAGGGGATCAGGCCCAGTCAGCATGGGTTTACGAATGGTAGATCCTGTCTGACAAACCTGATTTCATTCTATGACAAGGTGACCCAATTAGTGAATGAAGGTAAGGCTGTCGGTGTGGTCTACCTGAACTTCTTTATTAACGATCTTGATGAGGGGATTGAGTGCACCCTCAGTAAATCTGCAAAGGACACCAAGTTGGGAGGGAATGCTGATCTGCCTGAGGGGAAAAAGGCACTACAGAGGGACCTGGATAGGCAGGATCGATGGGCCAAGGTTAACTGTGTGAGTTTCAGGAGGGCCAAGTGTCAGGTCCTGCATTTTGGTAACAGCAACCCCAGGCAACCAACCCTACAGGCTTGGGGAGGAGTGGCTGGAAAGCTGCCCGATGGAAAGGGACCTTGGTGTGCTGATGGGCAGTCGGCTGAATATGAGCCAGCAGTGTGCCCAGGTGGCCAAGAACCTGTGGTATCCTGGCTTGTATCAGGAATGCTGTGGTGAGCAGGACTACGGAAGTCATCCTGCCCCTGTACTCGGCATTGGTGAGACCTCACCTCGAGTGCTGTGTTCAGTTTGGGCACTTCAGTACAGAAAGGACATGGAGGTGCTGGAGCAGGTCCAAAGAAGGGCAGCAAGGCTTGTGAAGGGCTTGGAGAAGATGGCCTACGAGGAGAGACTGAAGGGACTGGGGCTGTTCAGTCTGGGGAAAAGGAGGCTGAGGGGAGACCTTACTGCCCTCTTCCAATATCTGAAAGGTACTTACACAGGGCTGGTCTCTTCTCACTGGTGACAGGTGACAGGACGAGGGGAAACGGCCTCAAGTTGCACCAGGGTAAGTTTAGGTTGGATATCAGGAAACACTTCTTTACAGAAGGGTTGTTAAGCACTGCAGTGGGCTGCCCAGGGAGGTGGTTGAGTCATATGCCTGGATGTGTTTAAAATCAGTTTCGATGTGGTGCTCAGGGACATGATTTAGCAGAGGGCTGTTAGAGTCAGGGTAGGATGGTTGGATTGTGGTTGGACTGGATGATCTTTAAGGTCTTTTCCAACCTGAGCAATTCCATGATTCTATAATTCTATGGCCCCGCCCCCGCCGCCGGCAGCCAATCGCACCGCAGCGTCTTCACGCCGCGGCTGA